GGGTTCATTTTTTCAGTCTGCTTGCGCTACAGGCATGGGGGTTCATTTGTACAGTTGGCTTGCACAACCGGTTACAACTATGTTGTCGGTCCTCTCGAGGCTCTTTTTCGTGTACTGTGTACTGTGTACTGTGTAGATGTGTGTGCAATCATTGCGTATCCACTCTTCTCTTCTTTGGTTAAAGTGTGGCACGATAAGTAGTAGTAGCGAGTAATAATAAAAACAGAGGGAAGTTCCCGGCCAGTTTTCTCCGTCGAGGCTGTGCATGTGCCGCAACTATCAGGGCTTGGCCTACTGGAGAGAAATGGCTGGTGGTGCCAGGCAAACGAGCACCCTTGCTGGTTCCCATTTGTTTGCGCTGCTTAGCGGGAAATCTGCTTCGGCAAAAGGAAGCCTTACAAGTACTGGTGTGTTTAAACCACCAGTACTTCCTAGAGTCGTGCGTTCCCGTTAACGCGCCACGATTCTAGGAAACGTACGGGCTACTACAGTAGCGCCCAAATTCATCCGACTAGAAACGTTTCTACGCTATTTTTTTCGGCGGCCGATAGCTGGCCGAAGTACTAGTGGCTTAACATTCCTTCCCGAGGAGGGAGTCTAAAGGGATCTATTTTTTTTTCAATAGCTTGAGAGGTGTGGTAGCACTGCTGGTTTTAAGACAGCAAATGTTGCCACGTCATCTGCAGTAGCCTCCATGTCAGTCTGACCTGGACATCACGGGTCACAGGGCTTGGGATGTGTGCGATCCCCCCCGCCAGATAAGAACGCTTTTCACCCCAATGCTTGCAAAAGATGAGTATAGACAAGCGTTCAATGGCAAAACCATGCGCATTGGACCAGAGGGTAAGGATTTATTGGACCACCAGTAAGAGTCCCCTCTTCTGGAACTTCCAGTGGTATACGAGGAGAGCGCACTTTTGGTGTATGAGCCTGGCGGGGACCGGTTTGATTCGTTCGGGCGTGGAAAAAATAGGTTTAGCCAGCCAGGGCTGCCTTTCTAGTGCTTCAAACCACTCAGTGCGTCCGAGTCTGATTTCTCCAATGTGGATTTCTACCACGGGCCGAGTGCCAATCTTCAATTTTGCGGTTTGCATCGCTTACTTCCAAATAGCAATCTCTGGAATTGCAGCAACCTAACCCCCTCTCCGAGAGCTCTGGCCTGTTTGCAGGGAGGGAGTTCGACAGGGAGCAGCACCAGGAGTTCAAATGCAGAGTGAGCGTCCGGAACGAAAAAGGAAAAAGGAGAAACATGGAAGTAAACATCGCAGCACGTTACCGGGCCCATCTGGTCCTGCATTTGGGAGTTCAGCATAGTTTCGAGTCTGGCTGCTAGATGCATTGTTAGCGATGTAAGGATGGTTACTTTGACAGAGGACCCCGTAAATCAAATTGGTCACCCATGTGCGGCGTTCTGCGTCATATTCCTTGTGAGCCCGGGCATTCGTCCATGAGGTAGAGTGCCAGGCCTCCCGGTGTGATGTTCAAGCTAGGAAAGCACTAACCTGGAACGCTATCATCGCCAGGTTTGTATTATTTCCCAGCAAGAACATAGTACCAGTGGGATCTGCCCCGTACTGTCCAGAAGGCGTAGGCCCCGGTGTTGGTATGTTTGTGCTCAGAACTGATGAACCCAGGGGCAGGCACGACTGCGCCCCGGTGTTGGTATGTGTGTGCTCAGAACTGATGAACCCAGGGGCAGGCACGACTGCTGCTCGGTTTGAGCTCAGAATATATGAACCCAGGTTCATATGTGTTAAGAATGATACTTAGTACTTGTAGGTCCTGCACCAACCTGTTGAAGCTAGGGGCTTGGCCTGACTGGTGCTATGTTCATGCTAGGAAAGCACGAAGCTGGCTGCTTTTGCAGCCAGGTTCGTGTTCTATGTTCATGCTAGGAAAGGAATGTCTCACGGGTCTCCGCCAGTAAATTGGATCCTTCAAGCAGAAAAAAAAAAAGAAAAGATTGGAGTCTTCATCGACAGCAACAACTTCGTCCCTGGGTTCGCTCGCCGAAGTCCAGGGATTGTGGCTTGGAACATGAAGTTTCTTTGGAAAGAAAGGAAAGGAATGTCTCACAGGTGCCAGTTGCAAATATGTGGTCAGATTCAGAGTCGAAATCACAGAGCAGAGGGACAGCCAAGCTAAGACTGTCTTGAGAATGAGACTCTTAGAGGATGGACATGAGAGCGCTGTAACGGTAGCCGCGGCGTCGAAGTGTATGCAGGAGATGAAAGCCCTGATGGATCGCCATGTGAGATGGTGCTATTTTTCTATTTATTTTCATTTTTATTATAAAGCCCAGGGCGTTGTAGAGGCCAAGGACCAGACACACGGTGATTGCTGGCAGCGGGCAGCCAATGGTTGTCCTGACAGGGTGGGGCCACCTTCCAACCCATCCTCGTGTCAATACTCCTAGCGCACCCCCAATCCCTACTATCCTACCTCAGTGTGGCCAGCACTCAGGACCATCACCCTAGCAGTATCGAGGGCAACTTGGACCAAATAGCAGTGGAAAGCAGCAGTACCCAGCCCTACTGGAAGCGGAAGCCATGAGACAGTGCCATCATCGACAACGGAACTTGGAACAGATGCTCTCTCCTATCCCTTGAGCCTGGATTAAGGTTCTCCTGGAGGTGCTTCATCAAAGTGCCCTATCTCTTGAATACTTTCAGTAGTTTTTCCCAAGGTTTCTTCCAGCCGAAGCCAGGTAATGGCCCCAGTATCTCACTTTGTCCTCTGTATAAATCTTGTACGGGGTTCTGGGCCCGGTTCCCAGCACGTGTTGCTCCCCACAAATAGAATGGAGCATCATCCCCCTAAAATAATAATAATAAAAAAAAAAAAAAAAAAAAAATTCTCCTAGAGGGCCCCACCTTGCAGAATGGGGGCTGAGTTACGTTGAAAAGCAATGCAGGGAAGGGTGGGTATATCCGTGAAGCTAGAGCGGGACATCCATCCAATGACTTCCAGGTTCCAACCAATGGATTGAGTACCCACCGGGGTCGATACCCGGCCTCTGAAAAAAAAAAAAAAAAAAAAAAAGGAGAGGGAAGGGCCCTTTAGGGCGAGAAATTTATGAGAGGAAAGGATGACAAAGAAGTGACCTTCTCTCACAGAACCTCTATAGCTGACTCTGGTAAACGTGAAGTTAGAGCAGGACATCCTCCGTTGGCCTGGCAATGGGTGTGCCTTTTTCTGCGGCTACGGTCCTGGTAAACATCTTAGCGGCTTCAAAACGAGCCTGTTTTCCCTTTGAAAAAGGGCGGTGTTATGAACATTGTTGTGGACTAGGTGCATTTTGGTTACGGAGGCGCTTCGGGTAAATGGGGAAGAGAACCAACCAGCTGAGCTCAGTTGGTACATCCTTTCAACTGTTGAAATACAGAGCCGAATTCGAACTCCACTGGATTCAGATGAGTAAAATGCTACAATTTTGAATTACCCAGGGCGGGTCAGTTCGATGACAATATCTCAAGGTCATCACCCTTTATAAATAGAAGACCATGCCCGCCGCGGCTCCGTGCGCAGCCGAGACCCGTACCTCCCTCTCCCCCTTGCTCCTGGCGCTGTCTTCCATGTCCTCTCTGTCGTGCTCCCACATCTGCCCTCGCTTCTGCAAGGAAGATGAGCAATAGTGAACTTCAGCAATCAAACAGCATCATACATATGAGACCAGATAGTCGTGGCCTCGAACCAACAGCAGAATTGCATCACAAGATTCACCAAATAAGAACACACCAAGAGTTCATAATTGACAATACTGAAATAGTCCCATCATCATCATGAACGAAGAACCAGAATTGATATCCTATCTGGCACTCGGCGCCCAGACTACATGTGGCAGATCCTATCTAGCCTACACTACGATGCCGAAAGATGACGTCAACAGCTTTCCCGAAGTACGAGCATACAGCGACCTATGTCGCACGCTTCCAGCACCAGGTATGTCTCTCGCCACACTCACAACCTCATTCCCCAACACACAGATGCCGCTTGCACCCAAGGACCACCCTGCGTCTCACCCAGCTTACAGCAGCGCAGCTCGGCTATGGCTGCGTGCTCCTTCCATGCTCGCCCGTGAGAGCGTAGGCGCCAGCCAGCACATAGCGCAGCAGCGCTTGCGCAGCATGCAGCCTGCACCTGAATGTCGAATGAGGAGGCAGGCCCTTTGCTATATCGAAGTGGCCTGCCTGCGTCCAGTCCCAGAAGCTTCCAGTAGGCCCCGACAGCCTGAGGCCCAGCACGTTCGAGAACAGGCCTTGGGCCTGAGTTGGTTGCATGCGCCCAACTGCCTTCGGCCTGTGTTCGGCCCAGTACCCGTATCCAGCCTAGGGCCTGCTTTCCATACATTCACACAGGCGGCCCAGGGCCTGGGTTCTCTCAACCAACTGGTTCTGCGCAACTGCCTGAATTTCCTTGAGTTGCGCAGAGGCCGAAATAAGGCCCTAAGGGGCCTCGTCGAGCCTGCCTTCACTTAGGGCGGCCGACAGGCTCCCAAAAAAGGGCTGAATGGGGCTCATAGAGGCAGTAGCCTCGCATTCCCTCCTCCTTAGCGTCAACAGTCCTCTGAGAAGCTCAGTCTTCGACCATCGGGCGCTTTCCTTTCTGCAGAGATTTCTCATAATGGGCTACAACTTGAGGAGCGGTCTGCATGAGTTTTTCCCTCGTGAACCAGCGGTCCTCCTTGGGATCAGTATTATGTCGGAACCGAACGCGGTACTGCAGCTTCGGTTTCGGAGGACGTCCCCTGCCTGTAGGTCTCTGAACTGGCAGCTCCCTGTGATCCACGATGTCATGAATGTCCACTTCTGCATCCATGGTTGGGGGCAGCATTGAGCGACGAGAAGGAAACTCATCTGTTTCCTTGAAAGGCGCAAACTTAGAAGCGTGAAAGACAATGTAAGTTCGGAGATGACCAGGGATCCGGATAACATAAGATGCCCCATCCGGATGTGTTCCAACGATGTCCAAGACTTCCCAGGGTCCAAAGTACTGGGGCATGAGTTTGCGGGAAATCCCGTGCTCCTGTCCCAGTTCTGAAAGACTTAACCTAGACTCTGTCCCCAACCTGAAATCTCGAAGGACGGCGGTGTCTATTTTCAGACTCTATCATTGCAGCCTGTGCCTTCTGCATCTGTTCTACAGCCTGCTGCATCTTCTGTTCATACCGATAAGCAAATTCTAAGGTACCTGGTGCAGCAGTGGTCTGATTCTCAGGAAGAAAGTCTAAGGGCAGTCTAGGCTTGAAAGTTAGCAGTAAGCTGTTTGGACTCACCCCGGTGGCGCTGTGTACAGCGTTGTTGTATAAGCTGGCGATGAGAGCAAGCTTCTCATCCCAGTCCACCTGATTGAGCTTGATACAATGCCTCAACAGGTGTTGAACAGCGCGGTTCAGTTGCTCAGCTTGGCCATTGGACTCTGGGTGGTTCCCAGAAGTCATTTGCAAATGGGTCCCCTGTTCCGCAATAGTGGCTTTCAACACCTCACTGGTAAATCGGACATCCCTGTCACTCGCTATGGACTTGGGCAACCCAAAATCTCTTACCCAATTCTCTTTGAACATCTTAATGACATACTCCGTTTTAGTTGTTGCCGGCATCGCTACTAATCTAGCAAACTTACTAAATCTATCCACGATGACGTAGATATAGCGCATTCCACTCTTGCTGGTGATCAGAGTCTCCATGAAATCCATGGACAGACTCTCACCAGGCCTTTCCGGAATCGGAAGCGGCATCAAGAGCCCAAGAGGGGCCTGTGTACGTGGCTTGTCTCTTTGACAAACTTGACACGTCTCCACGTACAATTGAGCATGTCGCACCATTGTGGGCCACCAGAATCGCTGTAGTAGATTAGCTGCGGTCTTTTTGTACCCAAAATGACCGGTGGCATCATGACATTCACCTAGAAACAAACTACGCAAAGACTCACTATTAGGAACACACAATCGTTTATTCCCTGCCTTCTCAAGGAACAGCAAGTCATTGACCAATTCAAACTCGGCAGAGGTCTTCTTGTCCTTCGCCTGGAGTCTGCGTATGATCTCAGACATGAACTGGTCCTCGCGATAGGCTTCCACCAAGGACTGAGTAACATTGTCCGCCGTCAGATCGAACTCAGTAATCAGCGCACCTGAGAAATCAGGTGTACGCGACAAGGCATCAGCAACCTTGTTGTGCTCCCCTTTCAGATACTGAGGGTCAAAGTCATATTGCTCAATGACTTCGATCCAACGCTTGAGAGCGTCAGAGAGCATCGGCTGAGTTCTGATCCATCTCAGGGTCTGATGATCAGTCTTGAGGATGAAGAACCTCCCAAGGAGATAGTGCCTCCAATGGGTCAGAGCCTTGTACACCGCATAGAGCTCCTTCTCATAGGTGGACTTAGCCAACTTCTGAGACGACATTTTCTTGGACATGTACTCTACATGCCTCAACTTTGGCCCCTCCTGATGCGCGAGCACGGCGCCAATGCCATATTGGCTGGCATCCGTGGTGACTATAAACGGCTTATCAGGATCAGGAAGTTTCAAGACCTTGTAGTGCGTCAATGCATGCTTCAAATATCTGAAAGCAGCCTCACACTCATCTGTCCATTCCCATGGGGTGTCAAGGCGGGTCAGATCAGTCAAAGGAGCGGCCACTATGCTATAGTTCTTAACGAAAGTCCTATAGTAGCCAGTCATTCCTAAGAAAGATCTCATCTCAGTCACATACTGAGGACGTGGCCAATCACGAATGGTGGCCACCTTCGCGTCATCGGGCTTCAACCCTTTCGTGGAGATCTCATGACCCAAGTACAAGACACGGGTGCGGCCAAACTCGCACTTCTCACCGTTGATCTTGAACTTGTGTTGTGGCAGGAGACTGAGGACTTTGTCCAAATGTGCAACGTGCTCCTCAAAAGTCTTACTAAAAATAAGTATGTCATCGAGGTACACGATGACAAACTTATCCAAGTAGTCATGGAATATCCGATTCATAGCGTGTTGAAAAGTGCTAGGAGCATTGCAAAGGCCGAAAGGCATCACCACAAACTCGTACAGACCGTACCTGGTTTGAAAGGCGGTTTTGTGTTGATCCTCGGGCCGGATTGCAATCTGATGGTACCCGGACTTCAGATCTATCTTTCTGAAGTACCGACACCCTTGCACTCTATCTAGCAGATCATCGATGCGTGGTAGGGGCTCTCTGTTCTTTACAGTGATGGCATTGAGGCCCCTATAGTCAATGGACATCCTAAGTGTACCCTCCTTCTTAGGTATGAATAGTACTGGAGATCCATAAGGAGAGACACTCGGCCAGATCCAACCCTTCTCTACGAGTTCCTTGAGTTGCCGGCGAAGCTCATTGAGCTCGCCTGGAGACATCCGATAGATCTTACCCTTCGGAATACTAGACCCTGGGATAATCTCTATCGCGTGGACGACCTCCCTCTCAACTACTCCTATCGGCTCTTCAAATAGATCAGGGTACTTAGCAACTACTCCCTCTATCTCCGGTGGCATTTTCACCGGCTCGCCTGCAACAGAGACAAACTAAATATATACCCTCCTCCTGATTTTGCTTATTATAATTGTAGAACGTGGCCGCACGCATGCACCCATAGGACTCAATCAGACTACTAGCTTTGGACTTATGTGATCTGGCGGTCCCTCCACCTGTCAAAGTGTGTTTGACCACTTTTCAGTCCCAGTCAAACTGGGGCTGTGCCACAGAGAGGTAGGACATACCTAGTAAAATATCCATTGGGAGCTCGTCACTCACTAGGAACGAGACGTGATGTCTCAATTCCCCTCCCGCGTACGGGAAACAACACTCCACAGTTTGACTACCATGCGCTGTTTGTTGGCACAGGTCGACTCCACAGGTCGACTCAGGCGCTGCACTTGCCCCTGTAAGTGCAGTCTCTCAACGCGCGCGCGACTGATAAAGTTCCTAGTCGAGCAAGTGTCATAATAGGCCCCGGCCTTGCGGCTGCCAATGACAACCTTGCTGACGAACATCTCACCCTTAGGGGCTTTGACTAGGGCTGTCCAAGAAGCTAGCGGGTCTGATCTAGACCACTCCACCTCTAGCTCCTCTAACGAACACATTCATCGAACAGAGGCTCGATGGGTCTGAACGTGTTTGCGGGACGACGCTGGAGTCAGTAGCTTGGGCCATCTCTCGAGATGGTGAGGGTGTCTCCACCACCTCGACCCTAGCAGGAACAGCTACTATTCCTACTGGCCCGACGTGTTCACTGCCTGAAGTATTGGCAACATTGCTACCGACGGGATGAGAGGATCCCAGTACATGCCTCATCGTAGGCTGCATCTTTTCAGTTACCTTCTTATTGCGGCACTTGTATTGGCTATGGCCATATTGACCACAACGGATACAGGCCTGCCGTGAATACCGATCTCTCCACACGTCCGCAGTGAGACCCGCTTTCTCCCTTGGAGGAGCGTTGGGGTCAACTTGACTCCTTGACCGAGAGCCTCCGCGGCGTCTACCGGTCGCCTTACCTTTCTGAGCTAC